ATTTAATTTTATCAATAAATCTAAAGTAATGGTTGCAAAATCCCATTAAAGTCGCTAGATAATAGAGGCGGAAATACCATAAAGAAGACGAAAGTGCTGCTTAAGCACGGTTGCCGCGGCGTAAAACTTTCAACGCGGGATTGCCCTTTTTATACAAAGCGTTTGAGATAATCAGCTAAGAACACCAAACTGCTTGAAAGTACGAATATGGCATCGATGTAATTCTGTAGGTCCCAAGACTAAAGAAATACTATATATAGAACGCTAGTGTATAGATACTACGTTGGTAAAACCCGATACGAAAATAATTAACTAGTAAATATAGGCCGCTTAATAATTACACAGGTCTACCGAATTAAACTTTTTGAAAACCGATTTTACATAACATTGGTAGACTGATTTCAAAAATTCTATGCATTTATTTGTATCATGAACGTTTTTTTTTTTGTAAAAATTACAGCGAAAAAAAATTATGTTTCTAAAAAATTTAATTTTTTTATTTAGTAAAAAAGAAGAATCCTACAAAAAAAAGTGAAAAAAAAACTTTATTCAGACTTTTTTGAGTGAAATCTTCCTCTATTTGCCTGAAAGCTGCGTTGTCCGAACATTCGGTTATGTGTTTTTAAGGGCATATCTGGTTTTAAGATCCGTCATCGTTATGCTGCCTTGGTATCGCCGTTCCATTTTTTTCAATTTCCTGGTGAAACCGCTCTCCCTGTTCTTCGCTAACTGCTCCAAGATTTTTAGGCAAATAGTTCAAGTGTGAAAACAGGAAATGTACTCATATTAAAGTTCTCATGAAACTTATCAATTACTTGTTTAAATGAAACCCCGGCGTTTTTCTCGACATTGGTCATTGTGTTTTGAAAACCCTTGTCTCTGCGGTCCAACAAAAATACCTTCTTTTATCTTGGCATCAGATATAGCTAGACATTTCTCGCACAAACATTTGAAATGCTATCCATTTTCCAGGGCATTAACAAACTGCTTCAACAAGCCAAGTTTGATATGAAGAGGAGGCAGTAAAACTTTTCTGGGGTCAACTAAGCTATCTCTTAGTACATTTTTGCTACCAGGTGTAAGGCTTGTTCTAGAGGGCCATTCTATTTGAGTCTAATTCCCGACTATCCCACTCACAAATAAAGCATGGAAATTTTGTATAACCTCCCTGTTGTCCCAAGAGCATCCACTTGTGTTCTTGGTAGGTTATTTTCTTTTCTCTCTTTCGCGATCCAGGTAAAAGCTTGATGTGACACCAGGTGCCAGTAATGCGTTCTGGTTAAACACTTCGGGCTCTATGAAATCTGGTGTGAAATCTGAGTCATCTGGAATTAGATTGCTCTGATTCTGACGATACGAGATAATTCTTTTGGGGCGGTAGGTATCGGTATATCTGGTTCATGAGTAACTGGTCGAATAGCAGAGTCAAGATTAGGATATACAATTTGTTTCTTATTTTTTCTGTTGGATCCTTGAACATTACATGAACAAAAATAATAATCATCACTGTGATTATTAGGCTCTCGCCATACCATAGCAACACCAAAGTTTAAACATTTCTTCCTACCTTTTTGCCAGTTTCTTAATGCTTCAACGCAAACGGAACAAGCAATATGAGGAGCCCAAGACTTGTCTTGGTCGCCAATTTTTACACCAACATAAGCGTGGTATACATTTTTCACAAAAGAAGTTATAGTTTGCCTTTGCTTTACTATGACATAACTTCCACCGCTATAAAAGTTAATAAAATAATAATAAATAAATATATAAAAGTTATTTGGATAATTCTTCTTTAAATATTTATATGTTTCAGAAAACTAGAAATACCCAACAACGAAGACCACTGCCTTGAACAGCATTACAACCAAACTGCCCATAAGCAGGTTACAACGCTGTATTGACGCTTCTGCGCCAACTCTGTTGCTTTGCAGAGAAATCTAATATTATTCAGTGTTGCCAAATCACATTTAATTTGATAAAAATCATTTTATTTAAAAATCATTTTTAAGATATAGAACGCTATAAAAAAAACAGGCGATAAAGCAAAAATATGTAGTATTTTGGAAAAAGGGCCTTCAAAAACATACAAATTAGTAAACAGCAGTAGATACGCTATGTGCGTTCAACAGCAATTTCGGCCGTTTTTACATGTAAATTCCCATAAGAAAATTTAACATCACATCACATCACAACTCTTAATAATAATAATAATAATAACATTTATTCAATTTGAACTTTACAATAACATAATCTATAAAATTGATTTAAGTGGAATAAATGTTTTGTTTCACTGAAGCATTGCGAAATGTTTATGCGTGACACACCAATATTAAACCAAACCAATAATAATTACAATAATAACAACTAGATAAAGAATCTGCTTGTTACATTTATAGTAATATAATATCTACTCATACATGTAAGCAAAAATAAAAATAAAAATAAAACGAGAATAAAAACATTAATTCACTAGGCATGTGTATATACATAATTTAGGTTTTAGGTAAAAAAAAAACTATGCTTGATTAAATATAATTCAAGTCTTATTTACCTTAGCAACAACCGACCAACCATCACCCCCTCCTACAATCCTCACCCCGCTCCCTCGACCCTCAACCCCTCAACCTCCCTAGCTTAAATGTCCCTGTTGGGACATTTAAGCTAGGCTGGCGTTTAAACAACAATAAATGTTGGTGAAATGAGAGAATTTGATATTTCAGCATTAATTACTACAAATTCTTGCAATTCTAAAAAGTAAACTTCAATGAATTTTGGAAGGACAATGCGCAAGTTAGATCAGCTCGTGGTTTTTGGTAGGCTTTAATAAAATAGTCATTAACGTATAATAATAACAGTCAAAAGTATTGGTTCCCCACTACTATTCTAACCACGCTAAAAAACCAGAAAAGTTTCGGCTGCTTAAATTTAAATATCTAGCATTTGTCGCTCTTTGAGTCTCAGCTAAAAGCGCTACTCCATTGCTCACTACCATTTTGTCTGCTGCCTTTGGTAGGCGGTTTTGCACCCTGTTTATCTCATTCTCATAACAAGTTATAATTATCAATACCAAAATTAATGATTGGTATGCAATTTTTGTAGCCGAGTACACCTTACAAATAATAAGCTCTAAGTCTACAAAGTTTTAGAAGCTATTGACTTATATTATCACTTAATTTTATTTTTTCTGCTTCTATCCAATTTTGTAGTCAAAGCTTCCACTTTTTTCATTCATAATTTTGCCTATTCTGAAACGCCAAGAACAAAAAATTCTCTATCTTGGAGGTTTCAATAAAAGAAAACTTGATATTTTTTGCCCAAAACCTACTCAAAGGAAATTCTCAATAATCAACGCATTCTGTTTCATCAATAAGCTTTTTCCTCAGAAGTCATGGAAAAACAAAATATTTGTTTTCGTCTACCATTGAAGGAAAACTCGAAAAATTTACGGTCGTAAAAAAAATTGATTTACACCAGTTCCTGATTGTGGTCGGTAACGCCGCAACATAATAGTATCGAATGGTTCTTCCTGAATCCACAATTTGGCAATAACTTGAATAAGTTAATACCACACGGGATAGACGGTACGGCGAACCTTCCATCCGACGGGATGTAAAACTTATACTCGATGCTGGACGTATATTTTACGCGCCACTTCCAAATATAAAGACTTTCCGCGCGGCTTGGACGTTTGCCAAAGGAATTTACTGTAAATCTTGCCCGATTATGGTTTAATGTTTACCCCGATACATTTCGAAAGTTTGTTGTAATTTTATGTTCGAAATATCTAAGGGAAAGGCGAATTGAAAACGAGTTGAGCGTAATCGATACCTTAAATATTATTATTAGAATAAAATAGAAACGCCTTGATTTTTAACTTGGCGAACTGCGGAATAGCTGTTTGCTTAAGCAAGCCTTGAGTTACAAAACAAAGTATAAAAGAAATCCATCAATTAAAAGCAATATTTATCTACAAGTTTAAAAATACACTATAATCGAATAACAGTATTTCAATATATAATTCTTAAATATAATTAATCAATCAGTAACCAAGAAAGCCTCAACCCTACAGATCAAATAATCTTTAAATCTCTTTTTAAAAGTTTTACATGCTATTGGCTAATATGGGGAGTTTCGAAGCTATAAGTAGTAGATCTAGAAATAAGCTTTTCGCTTAAATATTGTGAATTTCCGCTGAAGTATTTGGTGCAGCTCACAAGCAATATGGAGCTTTAATCGATCTTGCGTCTTATCTTATACACGGTCCCTTGATTTAAGGCTAAAAGATGAAGCGAATGCACGAATTTTGAACGGTATTCAATCTTCCCTTAAGACTGGAGATTAACACAACATCTGAGGAATTACAAAATTTTTGAATCTAAGACTTGTATCAAATGGATTACATGGACTTTTCGGACCGCTATTATTGCCTACTGCTTTTATTCATCAACTTAGTTGTTATATACAAAAAATGTTCTAATTTGCTCTTCTTCTAATTCACTTCTGTATTGTTCGACTTAACGCAGCGTTGGAACCGGAAGGGTGGAAATCAGAAGCCTAATTAGATACTACTGGAAAAAATTTTGCTACCTAAAAAACATAAGAATATTTAGGAACCAAAAAAGATGCTTAAACTGATTATCAAAATTATTTAATTATTCCTAATTGAAATACTGCAAGGATTTTAGAGAAAAAATTTCAACTAAATATCTGCCAGCAAGGGCTTCATTTCCGAGATTTAGATTCAGTACCCTATTTAGGTTGATCCAAAAAATTAATTGCTAAATAGAAGCGATTACGTTAAAACGTATTTTTTTGTGAAAATCTTGTTATTATTTTTTCTCTTTCTAGCGGTTTGCAACCAAACGACGGAAATAGAACAAAATGGAGTAGGTATTTTCAGATATTTAAAAATCGCGTTTCGGAATACAAACTTTATAAGGAATACAATAAAAATTCCATGTGTGTAATACCTGGCTATAAATTTATTTTATAGCGCATACCTGTTGCCATGACGTAGAATTCTCTTTCGGCTTCGTGTTTGCTCTTTATTAGGAACTTCATGGTGTACAAATACAATAATCCAAAAGCTAGTTGAAGGCCAGACGTTAGAAGATGAGCCAGGAACGCTGCTCCGCATACTAACCAACCCCAACCACCTGGAAATGAAAAACAAATATTTTCATCAACCCCACACTAGTTGCACAGTGTCCCTAATCTAATATTCAATGTACACTCGACTCAATTTAATTATGTACTCCGTAACGTTCAACTTAATTAATACTAAATTAATCAATAATACAAAAGCAAAAAAGAACTCCAGTTCATAACGACTTATTGTAGATGCCGTAGTATTTCAATTCTGAAAATGTTTTTCTATGTGTGGGAGGGGAAATTAGACCTGTAAAAGAGCATTCAAGGAATACATCTGTGTATCTTTTCAAAGACTTCTGAATTTATTATCCGTTTATCTGACAAAGGCGTGCCTTTCCTATAGGATAAACGTCTGGTATTTGCAAATTCAAGTAAGTGCTTAAGTTATAGATTCCATTATTTCATAGTAGGTTATAGCTGGGGCATAAGAAGATTCGACGACGGTAAGCAAGTGACTTCTACAACATTTTTCCTGTTCCATATTTAGCAGCAAAGCATGTATATTTTTTAAAAGTAATCAATTAAATAATCGTTTTTGGTACATTCAAAAGGATTTCCATTGAAATAAACAAATGTTAATATGCTTACAGTTTTCAGTCAATTAAAATATTTCGAAAACGCTGAAAGAACGTCTTTTTGTGACACCACTAGCGTGTCCTTTGCATAGTAAATACCACTATTAAGGACAACTATGACCATTACTTTGCCTATGAGGTGAGGCGTAGTAGCCCATGCTTCAAATTGGAATTCTAGCATCAAAAGAAAGAAGGGTTGTTTTGGCACAAACTCATTGCGTCCCATGGATAATGTTTAATAAGAGGCATCGTATCCAATTCACTAATCATTGTAATTTAACAAACGTGTAAACAACTAATTTCAAAAAGCAAAAGTTTGGGTCAAATTAAAATAGAACCAACTTTGGTGAGGGCTGCTGTTTTATCTGAGGGAAGTCTAAATTCTACTATGTATAACTTACGGCACCGTATTGTTTTGTATAAGAAAAACCTTTGACCGATATTCTGCATATATTCTCAAAGTAATTTGTTATGAAATTCTGACAGAGCGAAAGTATGTTGAAACAACAGAATTGGATCAGAGTGGAGTTGTTTACGAACGGTAACTACTGGAGGAACAAGAATTATTTGCGAATTGAGCCACACCAAGAAGATTTAGTATACTGAGGGAAACCGAACAACTCAAGTGTTGTATCCGACGTCTTTACCTTCGGGATAATAATGTTGCTTAATCGTTGCTGTATCGACATCTCTTCTTCTGAGCGCCGGAATGTTCCGGTGTAACGAATGGAGTTCCCGATCGCATAGGACCGGAAATGAATCTTCGTCGTCGGGAGGGCGCGGAATCGGTGTACTTCTATCTGGAAAAGAAAATAGACTGATAAAAATGTTAGACTGGTTTATAAAAATTTGTACTAATAAACATTTGTTAAGTAACTGAAATAATATAAGCTGAAAATAGAACGCGTTCTAGAATGGATTTAAAATGCTGATAAACATCAATTCCCATTGTTTCTATAATTTATTCCCAGGAGAGATCTCTCATAGTGCTGCACTAAGGATTCTCTTCTTTTACAACTCGTATTGAAAGGAAGCAATCCATATTACATACATTATTTACAAATTAAATTTACAGCCTACCAAAATTATATAAAATCGGTTTTGAAAATAAAAACATCTGTCAAAAAGTTTAATTTTGTTGACCTGTGTTATCACTATTAATAATCTACTTTGTACAGTATTAATCTATAAAATAAGCTGTCCCAGCTATTAGACAATTTTTACAACAAAACCTATAGGGCAAAATTTGATGTTGCAGAAAAACGAACGTTAAACGTTATTTTAAAAAATGTTAATGAATATTTGCGCTTCGATTAGAACATTTTAACGGCCGCGTCCGCCTTTTAAACTGATTAATAATGGAGTATTTGTTAACCCGTCAATCAAAGTGGGCAGCGTGTCCAAAAACATGCTCGGAATCGTTAGACGTCACTCGTATTTACAGTGTTGTCCAGAGAGTGTAAAAAAATTGCTAGATAAGATCTCTTAGAAGACGGGTTACTTGGTGAAAAAACATCTTTGTATTTTCAGGAGCAACACGCACGATTTGAGTCTTGTAGGTCGTCATTTGTTACAATTTTTTCATTTCTATTGGTGTCTAGTCGATTATTGGGTTTTGCTCCACATAGTTTTGTTAAGGTTTAATTTAAGTACACTTTTCTCACTAGCTCACTGAACTTTCTCCAAAAGATGCTATAATCCATCCATACTGCCAACAAGCATGACAGTGTCTTCGGCCTATTTAATATTCTTCATTACTTTTCCATTCACCTTGATGCATTCTCTACTTTCGCTTAATTTTGGAAAAAAAAAAAACGAAATAAGCAACGAGATCGGCATTTAGACATTTTTACTTTATACCCATCCGTTAAAAAGGAGATCTAGATATTCAAAGGAATTTCAGGCTCCTACTTTCGGAAAAGTGATTGAAAAGTCCTCAAAAGCCGTTTATCGATGTTTTTTGAAGGGAAAAAAAATCTGAGCGACTCGCAGTTTGTTTCGTGAAAATTTCAATTTCAATGGCGACCTTACTAAAGCCATCCATTGTGTACTCTTAAATAAATTGGAATTCTATGGAATTGCCCAAAAATTAATCGAAACGTATCTTGATGAGTTTGCAGTACGTTGAGTGTGATGTGTCGAGTGACACACTACAGTACACCACAGGGTTCGGTTCTTGGACCGTTGCTCTTCATCATTTATATATATGATCTGTCCCTGTCTGCCCCTAGTACGAGCTTTATCTCGTTCGCGGATTCACTGCTGTTTTGTCAATTACTAAGCATCGTGGAATGCTGAAAACGTTGCTGCAACAATGATTTTCTGAAGATAATTTACTTTCTCCTGTAGCAAACTGAGGACTTCCTACATCGACATAACATTATTTTTCTTTAACCTTCTGGGATTTGTTATCCATAGAAGTCAGACCACGATCGGTCAAATTGACAAAGTTTGTGCGAGACTATCCCGGTGTGTGTTCTTATTGAAGCATCTTAGCTATTGGCTGATGCCCTCAGAGTAGAGCTTACTTTGGGCTGTTGTGATATAGTGCTTTGGGGAGGGTTATCTCTTTTACATAAGGTGTGCCGAAATTAGTTAGTTTTCTAGTTAGTTTTCATTAATATTTTCGAAAATCTGATCCTAAAATTATACATATCAAATTTTCATTAGAGGGTGCACACTTGATTATATATTCTAGCATACTAACTTTATTTATTGAGCAAAAATTGAAAAGAGCTTGAAACAGAATTGATAATGACACGCATTCTCCATATTACTATTAAACATCGCAGCAAATAAAAAAATTTTGTTTCACCCTGTAACTTAAATCACTGTGTTTTGCGAATTTAGGTAGCACGGTGGAAGCTTTGACGAGATATTTACTATTTGCCGACTGAAAATTCGATTTGTCATAGTATTCTCACCTAAGCCGTCCTTATGGTTATCTTTTGATGTTGTAGTATTTCGTATCACTTATTCTACTTCGTCAGTTTAGTGTTCCGAATTTTTGTCAGAAAACGTCTCCGTGTCTTAGGTGATCTAGACAACAGAAGTGAGTTCTATCTTAAATATATTCTTCTTCTATCTATCTTCTTTCTATCTTTAGGCGTTTCTCTCTCTCTCTCTTTCTCTCTCTTTACGAGAGTACTCCGATTGAGATTGTTGCGGTCTAGCAAGCCATCTTGCCTTGCTCACTGTCATCCCCAACGTCGTACGGTACCCGGTTAGCAGCGATTCACCACAATTTGAGTCCGTAGTTTCACTTTCCAGGGTTTGCAGAGGGATCAGCCCCGCGACCAACCGATTGAACAAGGAAAAGTACCTCTAGGGGAATAAAAAGACAGTTTGCGAATCTTTTTGATTGTCAGTCAGTTACTGTCTGGTTCAACCGGATTTAATTTCGTTTTCAACAATTAAGATATGATCTAGATTTAGGTGAATATTATTGGCCAATCGTGGTACTCGCGCTATTTTTCAGAAATGCTATAAGCTGTCACATGTTGTAAAGTCGCACCGGTTGTATTATATTATCAATATTATTGTATTAAACGTTAATTGAACCTCATTAACCGTTTTATTATCCACTGCATAACGTAATCTCCAGTTCCGGCGGAGATTTTTAGTGGTTTTTTAATCTCAGCTTACTTAAAGAGAAGTGCGTGTGAGTGATAAAACACTGTTAAACGAATAAACCGATGACCCACCCCGACTCCACTAGTTAGGTCGGTGCATACTTCTACGTTAGTAACAACTCAAAAGTTACGTAACAATAAGATTGCTATTTTGTTGTCAGTTTAACATTTATGGTGTTTTTTGTTCATATGGTGTATGAATTTTTTTTTAATTTGGTTAGCGAATTAAAATATGTCTATTTTATTTACGATTATTGCAATGGTAATACACACATGATTACGAAAGACGGTTTCCACAAAGACCACTACCGCAGATACCAACCAATATATTCTCTTATAGATTGTTCCACAAATTTTGAGACACCCTATATATATGTAAAAATGCGTGTGTCAATCGAGAATCACCGCGACTACAATGCCAGGAAACTTGATATGATCAATCTTTGTTCGTTTTGGTTAGATTGAAGACTTCGCAATCTATTAAAATTAATATAAAGTTACGTATAAAATCTTCTTTTCGAACAATTTAAAATAAAAATGAAATACGTTTTTAGTTCAATACAAAGTTTGTGCAATTTACCTACATTATAATAGTTCTTGGTTACTTGTTAATATTTGTTGTTTTGTATGTACCATTTGTTCTATAAGTTATTTGAATGGTTAATAAAGTTGTACTCTATTCTATGAAGTAATAATTGCGAATACTCTTTATAAACCAAATTAAATTACCTTATCGACCAAAAATTTCCAAAATATTTCATATTTTCAATTATTTACTCTTACTAAAAATGTCCTTTGATATCTTCGGGCACGCCGCACTGCGAAGCAATAGAAAAATCCACTTTGGAGCACAAACACGCTCGAGATCACACAGGCGCGCAATCGTAAGTAAGAATACGAAATTTTGCTTGATATCTGCTCCGAATATGTTACTACGGCGTCAGATTTGGGAACTGAATGGCTCTTCCGATCCACAAAAGCAAGTTTCATAAATTTTTTATTCGAGCGTTTCGGAAAGAGCCCACTTGTATATTTATAAATCGTACCTACGACGTGCGTGCGCGCAGGAAAACATTTGTTTCGACGCGTTTTTTCTTTTTATCGAGTTTCAATTGAGAGTAAACGAGATGTATTATTTATTGAGCCGTGTGCGGCAGAAAACGTCTAAAGGGAGAAATAACGAGATAAAAACCGCCACCGAAGACTAATCAAAATTGCTTACGGTGCACATTCTGTAATTACGCGGCGAATAAGAATGCCAACGACAAAAGGGCTCGGCTCCGGGAATAATTCTTGAAAATTTTACCGATATCCTTTGTGTTCCGTAGCTTGCGGTTCGCCTTTAACTTTTATTGAAGAGGATAAAATAGGTTTTCGAAATCTCGTCGCATGCGACCCGTACCCTTGTAATGAACCTTTCACATGTTTAATGATCGCGGCGTTACGGACAAATATACAGGGTGTTATTTAATAAGGGTCCGTGATTTGACACGGTGAGGTCTAAACTTCTTCGTTTTTCTTAACTGCCCGGCAAAAATTTCCGCCCCCCTAAAAAATAACGTTATCATTTTTCAACCGTGGTCAGTCCTTGCATGAGATGCAAATTTTTAAATCAAACGCTGATAATTTTACTATATTTTTGTTGGCTGAGTATGTGGTTTTAGTTACATGTTTGACAGTGACAGTAATGGAATAGTTTCTTCAGTTATCGTCATGGTTGTGAACTGCTGCAGACGTAGGTCGAATTGTTGCCTTAATTGCCAATATGCCAATATGTCTGAATGTTAGCAGATGATTGATTATTTTTTAGGGCTTATGCCTTGTTTTCTGCTTCCAAACTTTTTCAAGTTGCGTTGCTGGTAGATTCTATTATGGCGAAATGAGTTTTCGGTTTCTGCCACACTTATGGAGAAAAAAAATTAAAATATTTTTTCGGTCTCTATATTTATCTATATAAAGGATGCTTGAAATGCAATTCTCATTTTTTACGATACAACTCTCCATTCTTCTTCTCATAGACTGTGTTAAACTCTAGAAGTGTTCGTAAGACTTTTTCACAATTCGTTTAGTCTCATTCAGCTTGTAGTTGGGTGCACTAGTTTTTAATTATAGTCACTTTGAGTTTGTATTTTGACTGCACAAATCTTATTGATCTTCCACATATAGCT